ACACACTGGGCTTTCTCCTTCATAGACGCCATTTTGATACTGACGATTGCAGCGCCAACAGAGTCGTCTACAGTTTGTGCAACTGTACAATAAAGAACTCTTAAGGTTTGGCCTACGTTATGCTACAAACCGTATGTTTGTATCTAGAAAGGGTTTAAATATGTTAATTTTCTTACTTGGGGAAGGAATTTGTGCTCACGTAAGTCTCTTGTGCTTACATGTGATGACGCGAAGGTAAAGCTCCGTGCCTGTTTAACCTCCACATTTCGGTTTATAGACCTGCTCATGAATCTGAATACACTATGTTAATTTTTTATTAAGACTGTTTTTATTTACAATTAAACATAAACATTCTTTTACACTTTTTTCCGCACCTATTCTCTACGTGTGCCTCTTTCGCTTTCGGTGGTTTCTCAGTATTCTGAACGGAATGGAGGCAATTCTACTGGGGACGACTTTTATGTTTTCCTTTCGAGTAAAATATTGCTCCATCAGGACAACGACACTGCTTATAAAACGATCCTCCATGCTCTCTCGGATATTCTGCGTTGGAATAATAAAGAACTTGAGCATTGATTCACGCCACGGTCATAAGTGAAGCGAACACTGCCATTTGCCGGCGCCTTGTGACACAAGCCCACACAGTAAGCACTGCATATTTTATCAGCTGTGTTAGCGCCATACGCCAGTTCTAAGCGAATTGTAGATTATCGTCGCTTAGAGTTAGCAGTTCATATTCATTTCTGTGACCCCCAACTGGTAACAATTTCCTTTTCTTTTTCGGATTTACCCATTTATATGGCACCTTTATCTGATTATTCTTGCAGCAGTCTCATAGTCTGTTTTTCGTCTGCTGTACTAAGGATCGTTAAGAAAAAAATTAATTCTGAGCACTAAAACCTATTTCTTAATTTCTTTATTCAATTTGCCAATATTATTCGTTGGTAACTATAGTAAGGGAGGCACGTGGTATGGTAGTTCGTTGAGACACTATGCTACAAGCTGGAAGGTCGCGGGTTCGATTCCTGATGAAGTTATTGGATTTTTCCAATTGACCTAACCCTTCAAGCCGTACTATAGCCCAGGGGTGGATTCAACCTCTAGCACAACTGAGTACTAGAAATCTTCCTCGGGGTAAAGGGCGGACGGCGCGTAAGGTTAACAACCTTATTGCCATCTGTGAGCCGACTGTCTAGAAAGTGTGGGAGCCTCGACGTCTCACAACCCTATGGGCCTTCACCGCCTGTTACACGAATTGATTCACCTTTTTTCATTTACAGCACGAAAATTACTGCTGTCACAATGCGTAAAATAAAAGTACGTAATGACAACTTACATGATCAGGCGCGTGGCGTATTCCGTGCAACAAAAGCCACGTTTATTCCAACTGCGTTATACGATATCGGTCCAGCCGCACTAACAATAGTGACACCTACCTCAGATCGCTCACTCATTGAGCTGAGCCCTTCTTGAGAAGCCGCCAATTGTGCAGCTACTCAAGAACTTCCCAGAATTTTATGGAACCCGAAGGTTCATTACCGTGTTCACAACAGCCCTCCTCCACTAGCCCCTATACTGAGTCAGATAATCCAATCCATCCCATCCTATCTCCCTAAGATCCATTTTAATATTATACACCCACCTACGCCTTGGTCTTCCCAGTGGTCTCTTTCCATCTGGTTTTCCCACCAATATCCTATACGCATTCCTCTTCTACCCCATTCGTGCTACATGCCCTGCCCACCTCATCCTCCTTGACTTGATTATTCTAATTATACTTGGAGAAGAGTACAAGTTATGAAGCTCCTCATTATGCAGTTTTCTCCAACCTCCCGTCACTTTATCTCTCTTCGGTCAAAATATTCTCCTCAGCAGCCTGTTCTCAAATACCCTCAGTCTAGGTTCCTCCCTTAATGTCAGAGACCAAGTTTCACACCTGTAGAGAACACATGCCTCAGATAAAAGTAAAAAAAAAAAAAATGGCGTGCCCTATACAAAAGATCGTCAGCTCGGGCGATAACACAGGAATATCTTCGTTAGAGGAATCTTAATTATGACTTTTCATCCACTATTGGCACTAATCGAGTCAGAGTTCTCTATGCAGCCTTCAGCTCCGGCCATGTTGATGCTGAGATTAAATAATTTCCACCGGAACCATTGTACAATGAAGTGGTACACACCCCAACTGATGAGACCTTTACAGTTATGCTATACTACTTTTCATTCAACAAACAGTATTCGCCATTCGAGCGCCATAAAACAGGAGTGTTTCACGTCATTGGTTAGTGTTTACTTAAACATTTATGCTCATATCAAGAGCATACCTCCGCTAATTACATATATACTAACGAGCTAAGCCTATATTGATCATTCTTAAGGTCTGAAAGAGGGATGCATTTTTATGACGAGACTGTATGTGGGCGTACAATTTTTAAAGCGCATGTCCGTACATTTCTTGAAACGTTCCTTAACTAACTCCAGGGAAAAGGGTCCTTTTTAAATTGCTGATACTCGTTCATGCAGGCAAAAAGAATAAAGAAAAAGAAAAAAAAACCCGCCACGTCTTCTATGGAAGTCAAGAGTTCATTACCGTTTTCACAAGAGTCCGCCACTCCTGATTAAAATAGGGGAATGAATCCAGGGCATATCCCTAGAATAAAAGGTAATTTTCTTTATAGATACTATGAAATTCCTACCTATTTAGGGAATACTGAATTTAGATGTAGATTCCGTTCCAGAAGGAATTATCCTGCCACTCAATTACACGCAATGAGCTCATCCTCTATCAGTAGAATTGTTCCATAAAATGCACACAGTCTGGCGACGAAATTTCTCCTCCAGACGCGAAGCAAGAACCTTAGTGTTCTACGTGTTGTAGAGATTTCAATATGAAAATGATGAAGCAGCAGAGCATGCATGGGTCTTAAACTGAAACCTGTACCCCGCAGTGGTACTTGCGCTAAATGTGGATCCAGATCAATTCATAACATTGTGGGCAAAGTTCACGTGTTCTGGTTCAGTTATAAGGCTAGCAATCTTAAATTAATCTGTTTATTAAACTTTAATGAACTGCGTCACATATGTTCTAATATTGAAGTGTCACATAAAACTATCGCAAGTCTAACGTTTTCTTAATTCCCGAAAAACTCAAGCAATTTTCGGGAAACCGAGTGATACAAGTCTGTATTTACGGCGGAGGGAGGATTTGTGCAAGGGTTCATCTCAGACGCCCCTGGAATGTCTGGAACGGCGTGAAAATATGTCATTTATTTTTATCAAAATTTAATTAGAAAAATGGTTGCAAGTATTTTCTCAGGAAAAATGTTAATTCTGAATATTTTGTTTTAACTGGTTTTCAGAATTCTTCCTCACAGGTATGTTACTGATTTAAACGAACCGATGGGGTACATTTTAAATAGTTACGTGACACATTTGACAGATTATGATATATCATTAAATGTAAGATAAACAGCAACTCCTGACAATAGTACAAGCATGATGACGGATGGTTAGTCCTTACTGTAGTCCCCTGATAGAAGAGAAACAGAACAGTACAAATTGTAGTGGTTCTTGAGCTCAGTAGCTTTAGAGATACAGACATTTAAATATTACAACTAGTTACAGAAACTTCTGTTTGACTCTACAGTTGAAGAATTAGATCGTTATCTGTTGTGGCTGCGCGGTCTAAAGGCGCTTCCCGTCTTCGATCGCTAGAACACTGGGGGCTCGAATCCCACTCGGGGGCATGCATACATGCATGTGTGTAGTCCCGTGTAGGTAGCGACCTTGCGAGGGACTGATTCCAAGTCCAAGGATTCCTACCAATTTTCTTTAGAATTCTTTGTTTCAGAAGCTCATGTTGGATGGGAATAGACCAAAGGGCCTAATGCGCAAAAGGAAGAATATCGCTATATTGGGAACCTTGTAACAGATTGCAGCATTAAGAGGACAAAGACCATGCAGAGAACATACATTCACGAATTTCCAACGAACGTAACAATATGACGAAAGAGAGAATTCATTAAAAGCAAATAAATATATAAAGCTGCCCCTGTGTTTAATTAATTAAGCACCAAGCCATGAAGACATATGCGAGAGCACACGTACAGCTAAATCATTCTTGATCACGGCACTAGATGGAGGAGAGTGGTCAGCTTCACGCCCCGGCCGCTTTATCTCAGGAAAAGAGCCGCCGGTGCCTACTGTATAGGGGGTGGCCCCCAAAGTCCGTCTGAACCCTTTGGAGTAGAGAAACGTCTCTTACCCCTGCTGGGAATAGAACGCCGGTCGCCTAGCCCGTCGCTATACTGACTGCGCTATGCCGGCCCCCAGGGAGAATTCGTAAACAGCCAAGAGAACTCTGCGAAAATAAAATAAAACTTAAAACAGCACTAGACAAAATACTAAAATATGAAGGGAAGAGAATCAGACATACGTAAACATTTGCGATAGGTTATATAGGTGCGATGTTTAAAAATCTGTATTCTGCGTGTTTATCTTTCTTCCATGACTCACTGTTCAGCATTATTAAAATGTACGTTCATTCGGGATTTATAGAATTTTGTTTCAGTTCTACGTTCACATGTGCTATTAAGTAGGGATTAGTATTGGGTGGGTCTGAGATCGATCGCTAAAATACAACGAACCTCAAAACCAGCATTGTCAATTATATATTTTCAGTGCCCGCAACTTCAGCACACACAACAACAACAATACATTTCCCTTCTCGCAACCAAACAGTTGCCATCAGCTTGTGCGAATGTTCAGGCAAACCGAGTTCTGTTGAAGCAGTGGGACCAACCGCTGAGGGTCATTGGAAATGTTGGCGGAAAGAGAACTGGTTCTAGTACGACGGTATGCCGCTGCTCTTCCCACCCTAAAACTCGGCGCTGTAGTCGGAGGGCGCAAGCGGGAATGGTTGGTGGTGGGCCCGACCCCTTCTCTCTCTCCCCACCCGAAGGAGAAGACCGCCAGCCTGTCCTCTTCGAGCCAGACGCAGTCAGTTCGTTTCAATCACGCGTGTTGTACGGATGTTGCGACCCCTCACGGCAACTTTTTTTTTTCCTATGAACAAAGTTTTCTTTAATGTTCTGCTATAAGATGTCTGTGCAAGCAGAAAACAATCGAGTGATACGCAGCGGCAGGTAAAGACATCTCGCAGTGCGATGTAATTACGTCAATTAGACTACCGGTGAAGTGACGTCAGACAAATAAGTTAGAGCACAAAAAGCGATTAAAAGAATCTGCTGACAACGTATTTGTGTTTAGACAGGGCGATTATTTTGTGTTCCCTTCCTCTTACATTTACGGAATGAGTGTTTGTGCAAGAGTGTCTGTGTTATTTGTTTTATGTAGTTACCAGGAAGAAGAGTGATTCACAACCAAGTCTTCCAGCAAAGTGTTATATAAGATTAAAGTGGCCAACTTATGCAATTCAACCCATCGTCCACAAGGATAAAATCATATATTTAAAAATACAGGCAAATGTATATGACTAGTAGAAATGTGAACCCCAATTATGTTTCCCAGTTTCCATTGATATAATCAATTTAGAGTGGCATTTATTTTACTCTAATCGTGATGTCCATACCGGAAATTATGCAGTGATGTGAGCCGGAACGCCCTCCCCTTACGGATTAATTGGGGCGAGATTTCCGTGGCCGGAAGTGGCGACACAGTGTGGTGATGCCGGCCTTAGTGCAGTGCGTGTAACAATGCGCCGGGTTTTCAACATGTTGGTTCTGGTGGAGGTGACGGTGGTTGTGTTGTCCGCGGCGGTCACAGCAACGGAGGACCACTGCCGGACAGTGTGCAGTTGCATATGGAAAGGTGGCAAACAAACAGTGGAATGTATTAACCGAGGTTTGATCACAATACCAGAGAAAGTGCATCCGGAAACGCAGGTACTGGACATGTCGGGTAACAACCTCAATAACCTCCCCAAAGATATGTTCGTGCGTGCAAAACTGCTTAATCTGCAGAGAGTTTACCTCAGCAATTGCAGAATTGGCCAGATTGACGACAATGCTCTCCATGGTCTTACAAATCTTGTGGAGTTGGACCTCTCCCACAATCTTCTGACCTCTATCCCTTCCCAGACTTTCCGCGATGTTCCTTTTTTACGTGACGTAACACTTGCTCATAATCCGATCCAGAAGATTGAGAGTTACGCATTTCGTACCCTTCCCAGTCTGGTGAAGCTAGACTTATCCCACTGTGAGCTACAGACTATAGCGCCTAAAGCATTCGAAGGCGTAGACCACTTAGAGTCCTTGAAACTGAACGGCAACCAACTGAGTGAGCTGCGGCCGCGGACAGTGGAAACTCTGAGCGGCCTTCACGGGATCGAGTTGCACGACAACCCATGGCAGTGCGACTGCCATCTTCGGGCGGCCAAACAGTGGCTCATGAAGAACAATATACCCTACCCTGTTACGCCAATCTGTCATGGAGGGCCGGAACGCGTTGCTGATCGTACATTCGCCGAATTAGATGTCGACGATTTCGCATGTAAACCGGAGATTTTGAAGGGTAGCAGATATGTTGAAGCCACAACGGGTGAGAACGCTACTGTGGTGTGTCGGGTAAGAGCCATGCCTCCGGCCGTCATAAGCTGGTACTGGAATGGAAGGCTTCTTCTCCATAACTCTGCCTTCAGCTCCCACCAAAGAGTCTTTATCTACGAGGATGGACATTTCGAAAAGAGTAACACTCTGGTGCTGACTAACGCCCAGGAAACAGATTCAAGTGAATTCTACTGTGTGGCAGAGAACCGAGCCGGTAATGCAGAAGCCAACTTCACCCTCCACGTATCCATGCGAACCGCAGGTATGGCCACTCTTGGCAGTGGGCAAATCGCAGGACTGAGCGCGGCCCTTGTTATCCTCATTCTCTTCATTCTGCTCGTGATCCTGGTGCTGCTGGTTCGACTCAGACGGTTGCCATTTTCTGAAAGCAAGACGCCGGGTCAGATGGAGACAAGCGCCACGATTGCAGAAACTGCAAATAATGCTAATTGCAAACCAGCTTCCATAGGTACCGGAGCGAACTGCGATACGTCCTTCTCGGAGCATAAGGTTGTTCCTAATGACCTGAAAGTTGCGTGCAACCCAGTGCAAAAACCACCACGACTGACGGAACTCGCCTACACAACCAGTCACTACGACGGCAATGGGAGCGTGATCAATACCACTCAGTGTTTCACGGCGCCTTCTTTGGGTCCAACTACTAATAACCCGGACCTCATTAAAGACACCAAACGACTGGCCAGCACGGGTGACCTCCCAGCGGCAGGAATTGTTCTGCTCCCCAATGGTCACGCACAGCAACCAGATGCCAGCGGTGTTGCCGATGAGTCAGGGGTACCCACAGAACTGCGACCCGGCAGCGGAGAATATAGCCGTGCCACGGGCTGTGATTCACTGTATCCTTCTGGTCTGTGGGAACAAGCCCAGCAGTCCAACCTCGAGCCGTCTCCTGATCTCTTCATGAGAAGAACGACAAGCACCTCGGCAGCAGGGTTTGGTTTCGACACTTCAGACAAGACACCCATCATCGGAGACGGCGCCAGCCTCGGAGGTGTTTCGACGGAAGACGAGGAGTACAGCTGCAGAACATTACCGCGATCGCTTCATCACCACAACAGCGGATATCCCGCGGACTACGGACTGCCCATCATACCTTCCGGGATGGACCAGAAGCTGCGAGAATTGGGAACCGTACAGCACAGTCCCTCCTCCACGTCACCGACAAGCGCTACCGGCGCCCCGCCCAACGCCAAGACACTTCGGGTGTGGCAGCGGGGGGTGCCCGTCCTGCCCCCCGTTACCGCCCTCAAGCGGGTCCTGTCCAGCAGCAGGAACTCCCCTGACGAAGGCTACCAAGAAGGCTGCGGCACTGACGTATAAACGTGTGATGTGGTATGTTTCAAAGATGGCCATGCACTTGGACTGCGCATTCAAGTTTCATGTTCCTTATTTCAGTTTTAGGTACAGTACTTGAGCGTCCCACAAGGTATACTTAACAAACTTCCTGAGACTTATCCATTTAAATTGAACGTGTCCACAAATGCAAGGCTCATAAATTTTACCTAATTACGGGCTTGTGTCTATATTCTGTTGATAGATATTCATTCTTACGCATCCGGCTGCCATACTTTGAAGTTTTCAGCAGCAAGCGCAAAAAATGTGTGCTAGTTTCATGACTACTAATACAGTGCTCGGACCGGGTCTATTTCGAATATTGCCTGCTTGCCGGCTACTGCCGTCACGTGTATTTGATACACTCTCCTGTGTGTTGTATACGAAGTTCTTGCAGACGGCAGTCTTTAAGGCTATCAAGTTAGAAAAGAGACACGCTGAGGGTTCATAATCTGAAACGTAACCGATTTTCACGTGATCTCAAAACTCCAGTATTCCTGGCAAAGGAAGAATTTAAATTTTTAAATGTAATAGTAATGTGAAAATTAACATATCTCTGCAATGAGATATGGCTTTGAAAGCAGACGAGAAAAGTGTGTTCTTTATAGAATATTACGTATTGTTTGATATTATATTTAAGACAGTAAAGAAATTTCACCCATTCTCTATATCAAAAAGCCATTTAAATGTCTGACCAGTGGCCCCACAGCAAGTATTCACCTGTTTCTATTTATGAAGACCGATAATATGAAGTAACTTTGGAAGCAATTTGTAAATAATGCACAACTGAGAAGTCAGAAGCAAGATCTGTTTAGTTTTCTAAACAAAATGTGACAAGAGATGAATACAGTTGTGTATTTCAAATTTCAATGAACGGAATTTTCTTGTAATATCACGTAACGTAAAGAAATTCTTGTACTTTTGTCAACAGAAGAATCCAGACAGCGCCGTGAATTTGAAAAGTATCTTATACTATTATGAATTTAAAGATTGAAGGGTTCAGATTAAACCAAAATTATTATGACTTACGATAATTAATATTGCATAAAACCCGTTCCTTAAGACAGTAATACAAATCGCATAACATGTAAGTAATAAACCAATAAACATTCAACAGAAGGCGAACCCATTATGTGAAACACTAAGAGTTGCAGAATCCTAAGATAATGAGCCATAAAATAGGAATTAATTTCATAAAAAAGCAATAAAAGTTCATTTAAAATTTAGGCTATGAAACTTCAGTTGAGGCAGTTTCTGAATTAAGCAACTAGGAGTGCCATTGACCATTGGAACAGCTGAGAGACATAAAAGTATGAATTTGCAATAAACAAGAACAGTGAGCGTACATTGCATAAACTTAGGAAAATAATTTTAAATATTACCAGCTTAGTACGTGTATTATTGCTTTAAGGACTCTTTCAGCAGCACAGATTATACAGCGCCGAATGGTAGGATCGTTAATGAGCAGTGATTTGGAATGGATATGGAAGAGGCTGTCTTGGCCTAATTTAAGGCACTAATCCGGGATTTTCCCTGACGGACGGAAGAAAACCACGAAAAACCGCAGTTAGAGCGGACGGTTTCGGGGTTGAAACTTGAATCAGGGACCTTCCGAGCACGAAGAACTGCTATTCACTCGACTGTGACTTCGAAGCTTAAAGAATCACTGATATAAGCCTAACTGAATGGATTTCTATACATGAGTCGATTAAAGAATATCAATTAATTCGAAGATAAACGAATAATAGAGCCGTGTATAGTTTAGCAGTAACAGCCATAGTAGAACTATTTGTAACCGTTTCAAGCATAGTCAAGCCCTACATTTATCAATAACATAAGTGTAGAATAAACTTGTTTATCTATTTTAGCTTATTTCTTTTTGTTGTGATGCTGAAGTTATTTCTAATGCCAGTTCCTTCATTTGAATACAGCATCACAAGGCTTTTGTCCATCACAGCATGGCCACTGCCAGCTTCTCACAATGGTGTTTGGTGTTACATTCTCATTCGTTGTTCCAATCCAGCGTAAAGAAGCGAGACCGGACTCCACTCGGACTCACCCACTTCCGGAACTCCTATGGAGCCTTGCACAAAAGTATTTTCAAGACACGTTCCGAAAGAGTGCGCCAATTTCACATTTCGATGCTGCCTTTATGTCATTACAGCGAAAGAAGTGTATCCCTCTCTCACACACTGTACTGGTATTAGGGATGTGAGACGTTTGTTTTAGTGCTTGAAGAGGGTCCCGTGAAACGTTTATTTCACAGTTCAGTGGCTTTGATACATGTGCAGTTCCAACAGTTTGGCGTCATCTGTAGAAATACTGCGTCCAGTTCATGACAAAAAATGTACACTAAAATGTTAAAGAGTTAATCTGAGCTGTAGCAATTATATCTGTAAATTATTTCTGAGCCAAACATTTGTGGGTACACTGATCCTACATATCAAAAAATAATACTAATCAATAAAATCGATATTAAGAAATGGTCAATATGCTTAAGTCTTCCGTTAGATGTGGGCTTTTCGACCCATTGTGAGTCTGGCCATACCAAAATAACCAGGATTAAAACCACATGAATCTGAATAGCGCAGTTCAATTGCACAACTTGAAGCAACCTTTTAAAAGTGAATGAACAGTGGGTACGCCTGCTTTTCTCATAGCAGGTCATTTTCACAAGCGTCAACTGTTCTCGTTAAATGGAAACTTCAATGTAACACAATACAATTTTCAGTCGCCTTATTGGGAATATATTTTCACGGACAACGAAAGGATTACTTTGAAGCCAAAATATTTAATAATAGCATCCATCTCTTCCAGCGAGTATATTTAATTTTATATTTGACGAAGAATTTATCCTAGATATGGAGCAAGAAAAATATTGGCTTTAAATTACCCTTCCAGATTGATTATATAATTCCCATACACCCCAAAACTGATAATTTTTAAGGCCTTAATGCCAAAACGATTTGTAAGAGACAGCTGCGTGCACACTGGTGTGAAATTAGACAATCACGCGAAGTGAAAGCAAACAAAATGGACGGCTGTTGGTGTGGCAATGTGATGGTCCGTGTAAATAACATTCAACTAACTTGATAGGATCACTGAATAATAAAACTGTGGCGTATATGTGAACCTGTGTGTGTATTTTTTAAGCATGCGTTTTTGAGGATGTTACCTGCCCATGTAAATGTTGGGAGAGATTCCAGTTGTGTCCACAGAACCGAGATCTTACTGTATCATATTAAAAATCGAAAAACATGACGCTGGAACTGATCCACATATAAATATATCATAGCCGCCATTTTAGTTTTAGCGGCTCATTGCTCGGGGCAATGGGTATCTGTGTTCATACTTATTAAAATCGTCACTTTGCATAAACACCCTCTTTCCTTGCTCAAAGCATAGTAGAAAGAAACCTTTTAATTCCCGTTACGTTCGAATTAGCCGTTGATGTACATTGGTGTTATAAAGTAAATTCGATATTTGTAAGTAATGTGGACAGCGTACTGAGTTACAGGACATATACGTGAAAGAATTTTACTTGAAATTATTTTTTATTTTTACGACAGGAAATGTAGGTCAGCGTATTGTATTGTATACTTTATTTTACTAAAACTAATATGGCGGCACTATTGAAATTGAATAGCCCACAAAGTGAAACAATACAAATGAAGCGATATTTTTAATTGTGTATTGCAAGTTTAACAATACGTGGAATGTTATACTATTATATACCCATGTAAGAAGGTTTAGTTAATTATTTATTACATGATGTAAAGTAATGTACTGCTTGAAGCAGAAGACTGACTGAAAGGAGATCATCAATTTTTATGATATTAAAACGCCGCTGATGCTGCACAGGCCTAATTGATTCTGTTGAAAATATCTGTAGCAAAAAACCCGAGTCAACACTTTTTTAACCTTTAAAATATTTACATTTTTAAGTTATTTGTTACTTCGCCAAGTGGAGGCTCACTTGAACTGGATAACCATTCGAAAAGGAACTAATTATGAGAAAAATATGTCTGGCACGTTCATTCGTCTTTCGTCAGATTTACAGTTTAAAGCTTCTCCTTATTCTAAATATCCTCCATTGCTGTTTATCAGCGGTCCTATCCAATTAAAATAAACACTGAATATTTATGATAGTTCTATCTTCTGGGATATAACGCCGTGTATTCCGTTGAAAGTGAACCGACGTTTCAGAGGAACGTAACAGCTCTATCTGCAGCGTCGAAGAAGCCGAGCAAGAAACCAGTGTGAAAGCAGGTGGAAAGATCTTATTCTTCGACCCTGAAGACGGAGGCGATATGTTCCTTCGAAACGTCGGCCGACTTTGAACGGACTACAAGGCGTTATATCCCAGAAGATAGTATTCTTCATAAACACCGCTGTGAGAACCTGAAATCCTACATAATATTTATGTTCTTCCCGTCTGTTGTGAAATGAATGTAAACAAAGTCTGGTTGCTTCTCTCGCCATGTTATCTATCACACGAGTGAAATACCGTAACAGCACTTGAAGACACATCCAATTCTGCTAGCAGTACATTCAGACATTAAACCCCAAGACCCCTAGAACCCAAGAACCTTAAGAAAGCAGCCAGTTATGTGCATATATTTGCACAACGCAATCCACGTTTGAAATATACAGTGGTCGCGTTCATAGAGTTCAAATCTCTCCCCCTTTTATAACGTTAGCAGGCTCTGTAAATATATACTTACGCATATCAGCAATAACAGTTAAAAACTTGAGTTCTCTGTTATTCTGCAACGGCCTCTGTAAGCAGTCGCATACTTTTTAGCAATGGGTTGCCTTCATTCTTAGATTAATACTGAGAAAGTGAGGCAGTCTTCTTGGTGTTGCGATAAATAAACCTGTTTCCTTCGAATTATATTTCTGATGGTGCTAATTAAATTTGGTTTAATTCATGTTTTTATTTAATTTCTCTTGTAGCAGTTTTGGCGAAGAAGGGAATGTTCAGTCCACTTATTTCTTCGTTTCATTAATTGTGATTTCTTTAATAAATATATGAACACGGAGGGGCGTTTGCAACGCAGTAGGTGTCATAGCAACAGAACACTGAGCCGTCACTACTGCGTGATATACGAAGAATGGACATGGTAACTCTGTTTTTCGTAGCCGGGAGATTTTCGTATTTCCAGTTAGTTAACCTGCAATTTAAACGAAAATGACTTAATCTTCACACCACAGTTCACTAAGATGAACGAAAAGTATTGCATCCCTGTGACAATGGTTCTCGTATAATGGAAGATTTTTTGATCATAAGGGAAGGGGGCTGCCCACTGCCTGTAGACAAAACGGACATTGGTGCTCATGCTTACAATTCATTTTAATAGTTTTTAGTCTACTTTCCTTGAAAAAAAAAATAAAAGCAGGCGTATGAAATCACCTTGCTGTCTGTATGTGTATCCCTCAACAACTTTTGAATTCCAGATCAAATCTTTATGAAATTTAATATGTATATCACGGCACCTAAGCCAATCTCAACGGCAGAACTCATAAACCCCTCCCATCAGTAATACCAGTATTACAATCTTTCAAATTCCTGATGCTAAACCTTAACATTTCTTGAACTCCTGTACAAATTTCATGAAGAGTGGTACAGGAATTCAAGAAATGTGGATCTCATGCCACATGAAGCCATCTCAACGACGAACTTAAGAAAACCCTCTGATCAGAAGTACCAAAACTACTTCCTCTAAAATTGTTGAGGTAATACCGTTAATGTTACTTGAATGCCAGAACCGATTGGCATGATATTTTGTGTGTATGTCATGCCACCTGAGGTCATATCAACGGTATACTTCATAAATCACTCCCGTTAATAATACCAACATTGCATCCTCCCAAATTGTATTGTTTTATTGACTTCATTACGCATACATACTGAAGTTTCCTTTACACTTGTAAATCTGATAGTTACATTACAGCGAAACGAAAGTAGGCGATTTTTTTTATTGTTAGTGGGGTGGGACTAAGTCCCTTGTACTGCGGCCACTTCTGGCCTATTGTACCAGCCCCATGTGATAGGTGAGGGTGATTGTGGAGCAATTGGTGGAATGAAGATTGGCAGGGGAAACCGAAGTACTCGGAGAAAACCTGCCCCAGCGACATTTTGTCCATCACAAATCCCACTTGACCAGACTCGGGATCGAACCCGGGCCGCCGCGGTAGGAAGCCAGTGATTAGTTCTTTCCAGAATTTCCTGTTTTATTTCTCACACGCATGTAACTGATTTAAAACTAATCATATGGTAATTTATGTTTCCATTCCGATCATTTTAAAATGTTCATTTATTTTTAGATCTACACTAGACATCAGTTTCTAATTATCCGATTACTTTCAGTCGTTATAGTCGTCGCCCTTTATATAAACCGAGCTGTTAGTGCTCATCAGTTACAGTTATGAATGAATGTGAAACACTTCAGACGAAAAAGAAAAGAACTTCTAAACGAAACAGGAGCAGTACGCCGACATTTTGCGCTTCACTTTATTCAGTTCAATCGCCTTTCATCTTACCTCCAAAACACAGAATATAGCACAATCCCGCGCCAACCGAATGCGATAACGGTCGTGAAAACCACTGCAGTTGGCAAGACAAACACCTAATGGGAAACTGTGAGCTGGGTAAGATCATAACAGCCACGATCGTAGGAACCTGAAATCGAAGATTAAATTTCTGGAATGTTTTTCTCCACTTCAGAATATTCTGTCTTCCCGCGTGCTAACTATACACACAAATATTAAAATATACAAAACTGCAGCTTCATCAGGTGTTCAGTATGCGAGCTAAATTTGGTCGTTCACATTAAGGAAAGAAAGGAGATTGAGGATGTCTGATAACAAGGTCCTTAAGACAACGTTTCGACCTAAGAAATAAAATGGAATGGAAGCTGGCTAAAGTTGCATAACCAGAATGTTCACAATTTGTACTCCAGAAAAGATATTACGATCAGGAGGATCAAATCAGAGGATGAGATGGCGGAACATGTACCACGTACGGGAGGTATGGATGATGAATACAGAATTTTTGTCGGGATATCTGAAGCGAATGACTAGGTCCACATAGGAGAAAAATATTAACACGAATCTTGACCTTGAAAGAACAGGTGGGAGTGCGTGGGTCAAGGCAGGGACTAGAAGACGTATAACGCGCTCTTGTGGGCACAGTAATGGACCTCAATGTGGCATAAGGAAGGGGGGCGGGGGTTCTGAAGGAGGCATGTGCTCCATTGAATTCGTTTTATTGGTTTGTGTATGAAGATTACTGAAGGTTTTTAATTTACGTTGTAGTAGAATAGAACAGTGCCCACAACTAGAAATGGTCTATGTTGATTCTTCATCACACATTCCACGAACAAGCCTGCACCTTGAACAAACCACAATAACTTGAAAGATTACGGCAGGGAGCTGCAAGCAGATGTAACTTTCAGTATTCATTACAAGCACAGCGATCAAATCTGACGATAATACAATTCCTCATAAGGTTTCAGGGAGTGAAACAGAACGATACTGCGAGTCTGGAGAAACTGCACCTCGCAGTGATAACTCCGTTTCTATAGTTTCATTCATTACGTCCTGCAGAGCGGAGCGGTACGTGTATTCCAGAGAGAACATGGCAAAACCGCAAACGAGTACACGAGGAATTTTGTTACGATATCAAATGATTAAGACCTATAGCTACTTTCCTGAAAGTTTCCGCTTGAACACATAGGAGCTAGAAGAGTTGATACATGTGTACGCTCTGTGATAGCAACTAATATGCGATCCACGCTACACAGAAATTGTGTGATATAGGCCTAAGTTTAACACCACCACGCCTGCAATTTTTAACATACAAAATATAATATAAAATTTTAGGTAAGCTTATGATCTACCTCATGTTATTTTACGTTTTTATTACATATTTTTTTTTAGAATTTCTGTTATAGAAAAGAAAATGGACACTGAATTAAGTCTAGCTGACATCTCACAAGTTCCAGCTGTGGCTATCTGAGAATCATTGGTGCTAGGGAATATAAAAGTACGTAGAAGAGTAACGTGTTGTGAGACGACGCCTGAAAGCCGGAACAGTTTATTGTTAGGCAACGGCGATAAACAGGTTCCTGTAGAAATATGCAAGAACGCAACAATATAACAACTATAGTTTATATGTAACGGCAAGGTGAACACACCTCTGTAACGACAAGAGGAACTGTTGCGATAATGATGGAAACGGTCTTTTCTGTGGGTCCGCCCCGAGGCTATATAACGAGGATCTCCGACAGTTGGAATCGGGAGTGTGGAAGCCTGTTCGAATACCTCCACCGTGACCCTGCGAGTCGTAGGAGGCGACGAAAAGGGAAGTCTCAAATCTGAGACAGTAAAATATGGTCGCGAGTCTCAAGGGACTCGGACCACAGAAAGGCTACGCTGGCAAGGGCCAGCAGCACATATAAAAGACGGACCCGTCCTCTCGTCAGAGAGGGCGCCCCACAGAAACAAGACCGTAAATGTCAAACAGTAATAAATATCTGGTCACGAACCCCAGATGGGGCTCGTCACCAAGACTTGCTGACTGACTGACCGTCAGTAGCAATTTGACTTTGACTTTGGAATCGGAAGGGGGCAGTCGAGTGACTGAGAAGAGATGGCAAGAAAGGAGTTACGCTCTGAAGACTTCATGTGTGCTGCAGTGACAGAGCACTGTTATAAATCCGTTGCCAGGATACGACTTATGAAGACTGAGGGCACTAGTGTGTGTGTGTGTAACGGTGAATTGTAAAGTGTACGGATCAGCGATAGCGCTGTAATTACGTGTAGCTCTGAGTGGTGTGTATAAGGTGCCAGTAAATCCAATCATC